CAAGACTCCCGCCGCAGGGACCGAGGCAGTCTGTGCTGCTGTCTCATGGAGACTCCTTGGCAGCATCCATGCACACAGCCTTGTTTTGCCCTCTGGAGCATCCGGTTATTTACTTCCCTTTTAAGAGCGACACTAAGGCACGGAAGGCAGCCTCGACACTTCTCTAAGCATCCTCCCCTCCAGGCCACACCTTTCTGGTTCCTTGACTCATTCCTCCAGTCATGTGACTCCCAGACCCATCCCCACAGTTGCCCTGTTCTGAGCACACTGGTGTGTTAGGTTCCCTTTAAAACCTGGCAGCCGGATGGCACCCCGTATTCCAAATGTGGTCTAACCAGCCACTGCCTCCCCATGCCTCCATGAAGAAAGTAGAGACTGAGTTCGCTTTTCATTAACGAGCTCAGACTCTGTTATTATTGAGCTTGTGGTCAACCACATTCCCCAGGTCTTTATCCTGTAACTTGCTGTCCAGTTGATTTTAACCCAGTGGCGGGACTGTACATTTCTCCCCAATCAATTAAATCTTGTTGCTATTGGCCCAGTCCAGTTTGTTGAAGTCACTTTAAAAAAAATATGGGAGGCTGCCATCCAGTATATTAAGTATCCATGGCAGCTGTCCTTCGTCTGTAGATGTGGTAAGCATGCGTTCTACGTGTCCGTCGTCATCATTAGTGTGTGGAGCAGGACGAGGCAAGGTCTACGCACTGCAGTGAAACTCTAGACACTTCCCTGGTGCGTGGGTTCAGCTAGCCGCCAGCACCCCAAACTCACCGTCGCCGCCCACATCTCTTCAATGAGAAGATGCACGCAGAGGCACTTCTCGAACTATCCCGGATATTTCTTATCTGGTTACAAGGATGTCATGACTCACGAGAGTCCTCAGAATCTCGAGAAGGTTACATAACCACTGTGGTTTCAAGCCGCTGCTGTTTCCTTTCCATCCTTTTCCACCTTGGTCATCTTAGAAATTCATCTCCCTCCTTTTTCTCTCTGGGAATCTAATTCGTCTCATAGCTTTAGCCACTATCACCCAGGCACTGCCAGTAACCATCTCTGGCCTCCACACCTTTTTGAAGCTCCGGATCTGTGTCCAATACCCACCAGCCATGTCCATCTGAGAGGCCTGGTTTAACTGGCTGCAGTGCTGGATGCTGAAGACGCCTCTGATTATCTCTGCGTTGTCACACATTGCCTATAAGGGGGAAGAGAGAGAGGGAAAGAAAGGAAGATTTTCAATGATTTCCTATGTATCACCTTGTAATTTATTTGTTCAATACAATTAAAACTGTGTAATATCTTAAAATATTATATGTTGGATATAAATATAATAAATAATCATTTTAATGAAGATAACATATAGAAAAGCAAAAATTATATTAAAGTGTTTCTACTTTTCCCATTGCTTTTTAGAGAGAGTGGAAGGGAGTGGGAGAGAGAGAGAGAGAGAGAGAGCTATGTCAATGTGAGAGAGACACATCGATAGGTTGCCTCCCATACAAGCCCTAAACCTGCAACCTAGATACATGCCCTTCACCAGGAATTGAACCCACAACCCTTCAGTGTGCGGGCTGACACTCTAATCACTGACCCACACGTAAGAGAAAGTCACTGACAGAGTGCTCTAACAGGTACAAATGGCAGCAGAGTAGCCCTGAATGTTCTGCACTGAGAACAGCACCTCTCTTCCTATAGCCTTCCACACACACACACCCCCGCCCCCATGCTACGGTGTGAAGTGAGAAAAGTAAAACATAACTAAGTGACAGCATTGATTAGGACCCACTAGCTCCTTGAGCAATACCAAACAACTGAACACACAGAACAAGCAAATCTCCCCAGGATACTAACCAGTCACATCCTAGTGGAAACCCAGTCTTCTGCATGAGGCTCCCGTAGTCTGGGTGTAACTCCCTTCTGGAGACCTATGAACTATCTGCTGCCCCTTCCCCCTTGTACAGGACAGGATAACAGGCATGGTCCCTCCAAATTGGAAAGAGGAGGGATAAGAGCCTCTCGTCCCTAACAAGTCTGGAATTTTGAGAGCACGGATTGTGGATCGCACCCAGGAAGCAAAGCTTAGTCTTTGAGCCCATTTCTGCTCTTGGAAGAGCGCTCTTCCCATTATTGCTCCAGTCCTTGCATCTATCCTCAGAGCTCTGTCTGGGCCAGTATTGCAGCTTGTTTTGAGTCTCAAATAATCAGTCTCTTTTACTCTAGGTTCATAAATTTACAGAGCAGTAGTAGTTTATTGAGAACGCAGTAGACTGCAGTGGGGGGAAGGCTGGCTCTTTTATGCTTTGCCTCAGAAGCAACACATGTCAATTCATTGACCAAAATTAGTCATACCTAATTGCACGGGGTAAGGAGTAGAATCCTGCTCGTGCCAGGAAGGAGAGGGCAGCAGACAAGGGTGGACAGAAGTCTCCACCACAGGAGCCGCATTGAGATAACGTCCACTCAGATCTTTACTGAGTCCCAGGCTCTTGGTTATAAGTACCGAAGAAATGGACACAAAACCATTGCCCTCAGGAGCGTAGACAGCAACCATGATGGTTAATAACCTGAGAGGGAGGAGCATTTTCTAGCTCTCTGCCCTGAAACTGTTAGCCATGCATTGTCTCACTTTTGTGCACTTGGCTTTTCACAGCCTCAGCTGTGAGCAACTTAAGGGCGTGATTGTATCTTCTTGATGCCTAGTACAGTGGCTGGCTCATTGTGAGTCCTCTTTAAGTGTTGAAAATTGACTGAATGACTGGGTGATCAAACCATCAGACCAAAACAAGGATTTGTTTTCAGCCTCTGGAGGACCTGAGTAGTGCCTAGTTTCTCTGGCACTTAATTACCCAACTCCCTAATCCCTGGAGCTGCCACTGTACAAAAGACACGGCGCGTGCGCTCTCTCTCCACTCGGGGGGGAAAAGATGGGGTGGGCTCCAAGAACTCACGTCAGTACTTGTCCCGTTCTAATGAAGTGAAAGGGACACCCAGCACAACTTTCTTTGCAGAAGAGAAAGAAGCGCCTTAAAGGTTTGGGTTAATTTGCTTACTTTCAAAGCCCTTGGGCAGTGAGCAGAACCCTCAACTTGCCTGACTTTTACTACTTAGAACAAACAAGTGTCCTCCTGTCATAATTCATGAAGATCACTTTGATAATGAACAGAACAATATATTTCCCTCTTCTGGTCCCCTCCTTCCCTTTGTGGGGTAGTAATTCTGGTTGTTCATTGTGTGGTGAAACCCTGGGGGGCGGGGGGGCAGTGATAGAGAGAAGGGAGTGTGCTAAGAGAATAGCCTCACACCTGCAAGGCCAGAGAGGCAGTTGGCTGACTTTACATGTCATAGAAAATAATGGCTTTTAGAATATGTTTCTCAAAGAATGCCTGTTTTACGTGAGCTGGGCCATTTTTTAAGTTGCTACATTCTAGATTTTATCACAGTCAAGTTCAGTTCTGACCTTGGAACACAGCGGTCAAATTCAGGATACAGGAGTCTTTCGAAACAGACATTTTTGTGAAGCAATCCATTTGGGAAGCACGTCCAGTCCAGTCCGTAGAGAATAGAAATTGACTCTACTCCTGCCACCAGGAAGTGGACGGTCTCATGACTACTAGAAAGTCAGGTATATAAACAGGTGACTGTAAGGCAAACAATACTATTTGTGATTGAATAGAAATATGGTCAAAGTACTGTGGGAATGCAGGTGTAGATATGGTATCAAGCTGAGGAAGGGACTAGAAAACTCAGGGAATGGAAGAAAGTGTCCTTAGGCTGTATGTGCAAAAGTACACAGGAATTGAAGGACTTTATGGGGAAAGCGGATTCTAGGCACAGTGTCTGAGCATATTCCAGGGCTGAGTGTTAGACAAGAGCCTAAGCTGGAGCAACGGTGTGGAGTGAAAAAGGGCCCTGGGTTAGCAGGCAGCAGCGTAGAGGCCCTGATGACTGCTGGGCTGCAGGGGTGAGGAGAGGGAGGGGGCAGAGACGATGCTAGGTGCCCTAGATGCTGGGGACGGCCGGGAGAAAGAGCCATTTGTGCAGGAAAAAAGCTCAGTGGCCTTGAGGTTGCTTCCAAATCTGAGTCTGTGACTCACTCCTGTGGTTCTGTGTACACCCCTGGTAACTCTTCGTTGGGTCAAAATGAGAAGACATTCATTGCATCTCACGTGGGCACCTGGCTTTGTTCCTTCGTCCAGGAATTGTCAGTCTTTTATTTGCTGTCCTAACCATCATAATCAACATTCCAAGCATAAGGAGGTTCTTGTTCCCACCCGCAGGTAATGCTGGCTGTGAACATGGTGTTCTTGGAGTTGTTTTTCAAATAGTTCTGTTCTGTTTTCAAATATTTATCCATTTAAGCAACATCACTATTTATGGCTGAAAGGACATCTGTTCTGCTGGCCTGGCACCTGGCTTCTGAGCTAGAACTTTTTTTAAGTCTGAGTCCACCTTTTCACTGTAGAAAAATTAATTTTGACTCTATTCACATGACGTTATCTGATGTTCTTGTGACAAGTTATGTGAGGGCCTTGGAAGGATTATGACAAGCCTTTGTGGGTAGGTTTTTGTTTTATCCCCAGCATAGAAGAGCATCCTTGTGGTAGGAGATCAACACTCAAGAGCCTGAAACTTTCTGCACGTTGCATGTGAAGCTCGGAGTGTTTAGAGGGGTTTTTCCACAGGAATTCGTATGTGCACATACAGCTGGCCCGTGGCTGGGCTCCAGCCCTCGCCGGGTTATTTGCCTGTTCCAAAGAAGCAGGGAAGGAAGACACTCATGCCCCATCATCCAGCATGTGTTTCCCATGAACCTTACAGCTGGATATTGAAAAATCTTGATTTGATCTTTCTTTTCTTCCTTTCAATCAGCTGGATATGGATATACAGAAACAGAACCAGGAAGTGTTTGTGGAATTGAATCAGAACTTGAGACATTGAGAGTTGGTCATTTCAGTGGTGTGTCTTGTTTCTTTTTCATCAGATATTGAATATTCTTCCTGCAGGTTGTGTTCCTGACTGGCTTTGGCTATGTGTACGTGGACATTGTCCATCAATGTGGCTCCATCTTCATCACTCTGGCCCCAGAAGGAAAAGCAGGACCTATTGTAACCAATACCAACAAGTAGGTTTAATCATTATCTCAACAGCAGGACAATAAGCTTTCCCACTATGAAACTGTAAAGCAATCACTTACCATTCGTGGTCATCCCTATGTATACATTGAAGCTTGTGATTAATTATTGGGTAATCCATCAGGATATGGTTATTAGCATTAAGTCATATTTATAATAGGGAGCAATCTATTGTCTTACCTGGATGCCCCTTTCAGTTCTTCTGTGATATTAACAAACATTTACAAACTAAAGCACATTTCTTAAAATTGTATGTTGTCACTAGCATGAAATGCTAATTAATACTTCTGTATCCACATGACAACCTAGTAATTAATAACTGAACTTAGCAATTAGAGCTGCATCAAAAGTAAATTCACCTCTTAGAACCACATTTTCCCCCTTCAACCTGAATGTCACCATTAGGTTTTACAAACATGAATCCAAGAGTTAATATCCTTAAATTAAAAGAACTCATATAATTCAGTAGGCTTACCATGAAGATGGCCTCTTCTTCCAAAAATAAAATAAGGGCAAAAGACATGAACAGAAACTTCTAGAAAGAGGAACTACAAGTAATTAAAGAAATGCATATTTAAATAATATATTTCTTATCAAATAACAACATGTTCCATCATATATGGTCCTAGTTGAAGTGTACATTGTTACCATTTTCTGTAAAGCACTTTAGAAATGCATATTTGGAGCTTTAAAATTCCAATTTTAAGAGTTAAAGCAATAATTAGAGAAGTTGGCAAAGATATATGCAGAGAGGTATGTATCACATTGCCAATTATAATGGCAAAATATTCAGAGAACAACAGCTATCAGTAGAGGAAGAGATAACACATAAATGTACCACGAGTGGTATATCCACAGAAAATAGGCGTAGAGGATTATAGTGTAATAGGAAGATGCACATGATAAACCTAAAATGGAGAAAAAAGTATAAAGTTGGGTATATAAATAGGGCCCTAGCTATATGTCATATGTACACATATTCTACATAAATAAATGTGCATGCACACACATTCACTCTCTGTCTCACACACATACACACACAAGAGAAACATTCCTAAAAAGAAACCTGAAAAGAATCAGAAGTGTTAATAGATGTGGGGTTAAAAGTGATTATTTAATAAGTGTCTGTATTTTCATTTTCTACAGTTAAAATTTATAATCAGAAAAATTATTGATTTTATGAGCTCTTTAAATGATAGCAACTTTGATACATTTGTTTAGGTCCTTTTTTAAAAATTTTCTCGCTTTTCATATATGGGTAGGAACTCATTAATTTGTACCCTGCCAAATTATTATTAATTTGAATTTTAATATATCAAACAAAGTTAAGTAGAATCTTTTCTTGGCCCAGAAGTATTTGTAAGAAATTAATTAAGAGACTAAAATTCAGAGACTACATTTCAAATTGCATAGTACAAAATTTTAAGTCTACCCCAGAATTTCATGAACATTTATCTAAGCATTAGGAGGGCATTGTTAATGACAAGAGCCACAATTCATGCGTCCATTGGTGAAAACAGAAAGACACCCGTATTTACTTGCACTTTGTAACTCATTTATTCGACGCTTACTTTTCAAGTACTTACTGGATGCAGGTGCTATTCTAGGGGAGGTGGTATATCAGTGAGTAAAGAGACCAAAATCCCTGCTCTTGAGGAATCACATTCTCATAGGCATGGAATGGGAGAAAACAAAGGGTAAACATAATGGAAAAGGAAATTTTATGGTGATCATAAATCTCAATTTATTTCATTATAATAAAAGGTAAAGAAGGTTGGCATTCTGCAGATATAAGAACAGAGCTCAGTAAGAAGGACAGAGGGTAGTTTTTGAAAACAGTGTAAGTCTCTCTAAGATGTTGACATTGGAGCAAAGACCTAAAAGCAGCCAGAGGGTTAGTGATGTGGTTTTCTGGAGGTAGAGCTGTCCAGACAGAGGGCACAGTCTGGTGAAGCAGGGGGAGCCCATGCGGGCCAGATGGAGGGGTGAACATGGGGGTGCAGTGCCGGAGGTCTGAGAGTAAAGACTGGACGGAGGGACACATGTGGGGCCCAGTTTTCATTCTGAGTGAAACAGGGAAGTCTTGGAGCATTTTGAGTAGAGAAGTTCCATGAGCTGATCTAAAATTATAGATGCTTGATGGCTGCTTTGTTGAAGTGGATGGTATAAAGGCGAGGGTGGAAGCAGGAAGACTAGTTAGGAGATCATGGCCATTATTCACACCAGAGAGAGATAAGAAGTGGCCAGTTTCTGGATAGCCTTTTGAGGACAAGCCCATGGGATTTCCCTGATGCATTGGATAAGGGAGAAAAATAGAGGCATCAAGAAGGAATCCACACTTTTTGGTCTAAGCAACTGGTAGAACGTAGTTGCCATTAACTGAGATGGGAAAGACTGTATGTAGATTTGGGGTCGGATCAAGAGTTTGATTATGGATATGACAAGTTGAGCGTCGTTTAGACATGTAAGTGACTCTGTGGATTGGAGTTCGGAGGAGTCCTAGGCTAACTGTGTGCCTTTGGAAGTCATCAGTGTATAGATGACTCGTCAAGCCATGTGGCTGGACAGTATTTCCAAGGGGAGTGAGTGGAGGCAGAAGACCAAGGGCTGAGTGTTGGGCACCTGAACTTTAAGAGGGAGCCACATAGGTAACGGGGATGGATGTCCAGAGGTAGGACACGAGAAGACATGTAAAGAAATTATTTCCAGCTGGAGGGAGTTATCGCCATCAAAGGCCACAGTAGTTGAGTGAGCCACACACTGAAGTCCACCATTTGATGTAGCCAGGCGGAAGTCACTGGTGACCTTGAGGAGAGTTGCTTTGGTAGACTGTTGGGGGCAGAAGCCTGCGTGGAGCAAGGTTAGGGGAAAATGGAAGGAGAATAGAAGATGATGTATATAAAAAACTCTTTGGAGTTTTTTGGTAGAAAGATCAGAAAAATGAGTGGTAGCTGGAGGAGGTAATGGAGCTACAAGAGGGATTTGTTAAGACAGGAGAAAAAATAGCTTCTAAGCTGCTTGTGGTGATGACCTTGAGGAGGGGAGTGACTCGCCCGTGAGCCATAGAAGTGGTAGGAAGCAGCGCTGGCGGAGATGCTGGAGCAGTTTGCGGTCAGTTTTCTTTCTCTTGCTCTCCTTGTTGAAGCTGAGGAGTCTTGGTTATCTTGTTAGTCTTTCTGCCTTGCGATGATTGTGACAGAGGATTCGGGCACAAAGACGAGAGGACAGTCGAGTAAAAGTCTGGTGTTGATAAGGGAAACCCTGGAGGAACGTGACAGGGACTGGTAGTCCCGTTGGGAACATTCCCCAGATGGTCGGAGTGTGATGGGCTCTGCCCAGACACAACGCACTGGACGTCGAGTTCTCACGTTCCTTGTGAGGACTCGAGGGGACCTCAGCAGGTGTTGACTAAGGCACTGCCATTCACACACACAGAAGGAAGGAAGCAGGGGAGCCACTCTTCTATCCTTCTCTCCTCCAGAACGCGGGCCAGGACTGTGGCGTTGAAGATGTTCGTCACTCGGCTGAGCCTGGCCGTGTTCGATGACCTCACCCACCACACGGCCGCCTCCGAACTGCTGAGACTCACGCTGGACAACGTTTTCCTCCAAGTGGCCCCGGCGGCCGGTCCCCTCCTGGGGGAAGAGCCCAGCCCGGCGCCCTCCCAGCTGTACTGTGCGGAGGTGTGCTGTGGGGACCTGCAGCTGGACAACCAGCTGTACCACAAGTCCAACTTCCACTTCGCCGTCCTGGTCTGCCAGGGAGAGAAGCCAGAGCCCGCCCCGGGCCCCAGCACGCAGAGCCTCCTGGCGTCCGGCGGCGACGTGGAGGAGTGCAGGAGGAAAAGCTTCATCCGTCTGGGCCTCACCTTCGCTGAGGGCGAGAGCTTCCTGTGCGACATTCACGAGCTCAGCTTTGAGCTGAAACCGGCCCGGCTGTACGTGGAAGACACGTTTGTCTACTACATCAGAACTCTGTTCGAGACCTACCTTCCTCACAGCAGCCTGGCCGGCCCCCCCACCCTGTCCCCGGGGGGCTCACAGGCTCTGCCCGTGCAGGTGAGACAGCACGCCAGGGCCCTGGTGAACCCCGTGAAGCTGCGGAAACTGGTGATCCTGCCCGTGAGCCTCCTTGTCAGCATCCACGCCTCCCTCAAGCTGTACATCGCCTCCGACCACACTCCGCTCTCCTTCTCGGAGTTTGAAAGAGGCCCCGTCTTCACCACGGCCCGGCAGCTCGTCCACGCCCTGGCGATGCACTACGCCTCGGGGGCTCTTTTCCGAGCAGGTGAGGACAGGGCGGAGGGTCTGGGCAAAGGGAGAGGTTTCGGGGTCGTGCCTTATGGACACCAAGAGGCAATATGGAGAGAGGCGAGGAGTGTGGGCGTGGCAGGTAGACAGCCATGGACTCTGCCACCGCTAGCTGGAAGGCCTTGAGCAAGTCGTTGAACATCCCCAAGTCTCTGTTTCCTCCGCGATAAAATGGGTTGTTGAGGGTTTTAAGAGGATACAGTGAAAGTGTCCTGAGTTAAGTGCCCTGAGTTTTGCTTGGCACTTAACAAACTAAAGCAACACAACTGTTCTGTTCACTGTCACATAACTCAGAATTGGAAACCCACGGAGGAAACAGTCTTTGGCCTCTTGCTGGTACCAGGCTCATGTTAGCGTACCAGTGCAGCCAGGAAGAGCAGCCCGGCCGAAAAGCAGTGCCTTTAATCATTTTATTTTTTAATTGTAGTTTGTATTCAACACTATTTTTTTAATGTTTTTAGTGATTTTTAGAAAGAGAGAAGGGAGAAGGATAGAGAGAGAGAAACATCCATGAGTGAGAAACATCATAGATCAGCCACCCCTTGTATGCCCCCTGCTGGGGATCAAGCCCACAACCTGGGCATGTGCCCTGACCGGGAATCAAACCCTTGACCTCTTAGTTCCTGGATCGAAGCTCAACTGCTGAGCCACACCGGCCGGGCTGTTAGCTTTCTTCATTGCAGTCTTTCATGAAGAGGTAGGAGAGAAATTCAGAGGCTTGATTTGCTCGTAACAGGCATAGAGAGACTCTGCCTGCCCGGTGCGGCCTTGCCCGTCTGGACAGATGACAGAGGGCCCGCGGTGCCTCAGCCTCCCACACACCCAAGCTGGGAAAGCCCTCAGGGCTGGTTCGAATATATGCACAGAATGTTGTATGGGAAGGGCAGTGCTGAGAGTTGAGTGTTGGGGACTAGGTTGTTTCAGAATACTCTGGCAGCAGTTTCCAACCTTTTTTGTCTCATGGCATATATAAACCAATTCTGTGGCACACCAAAATATATATATTCTGTTTTTTGCCAATCACACACACACACAAAAATAGATATAATTTTGATTCATTCACAACAGATGGCTATTGTGTTGGCTGCTGTCATTTTTTTATTTGATAATCTAAGGGAAAAGATGTCCGTGCCCCTGACTGAATAGCCGTGTATTGTGTGTTTTGAAAATTCTTGCTGCTCTATGGTAACCGGCATCAAAGCACACATTCCTGACCTAAATGCACTCGGAAGCCATTTCATTTTGACAGTCTGACTCCTTAAGTTCCCCTGAATTTAGGCAACAAACACCAGCCAGAGTGGGTCTTGTGGGCCCTGTTTGATAAAGGAACATGGAAGTCTTACTTTCTGAAATAGCAGAGAGAGAGCCTTTGTAGCATTGTACTTAGAATGCATTCCCATTGGAGATGATCATTTTAGCAGCAATGACTCATGTTGTTGCCGTCCTGGTAAGATTGCGTTTTCTCCACCGTGAAATGCACAGTGTAGAGAGGGCTACTCACAACCCTTAACTGAAAATGACAGGGTCCAGGGAGGGCCCTGCTGAGCTGTTGTTTTGATAGCTTGCACAACAATGAAGAAATATTCCCTCTTGCTAAGAAACCATTTAGAAATAAGCTGTTAACATTTCAAATTTAATAGACGGGTATTCCAGAAACTTACCCTTTCGGGCAGTTTTTGCTCTTAACATGGGGAGCAGGCATGTAGGTTACTGAGCGCTGACCCAGGCCTGGGAGGAAACGCATGGGCCGGGCACCACGTGCCTGCAGTGTGGGGAGCACCCCTCTGTGCCGTGATCTGGCACAGACACGCGCTGTGGCGGGAGCCACGTCCCTGCAGCCCCAGCCCCAAAAGCGATCGCTCTGCTTTGTTTGTTTTTAACGAGCTTTCCCAAGAACATTCTGTTTGGATCTTTTGTAATCCACCTAAAAATCCTCTAAGCTGTGTCCCAACCTCATTATACGCTGAGACGAAATTCTAATACCGAGGGCCAGACTTTAGAGCCTATTGGGAAGTCTGTCACTAAAAACCTACCGACAATCTAAAGATGATCTGGAAGAAGCAGTGATGAGCAGGTTGGAAATGGGAAGACGGTAGGAGGTGACCAACCCCCAGGACGAGTCTTGTAGGAACAAGTGAACAGGTTACATAAAGACAGTAAAGTAATTAGAAATGAGTAACCTACCCTATTTAAAGGAAAGAATGTGGGCTTTATATTTTCCTGGGGCCCTCACGACCCCTAAGTCTCAGTTTGATTAGATACCAGACAGACATCCTTTTTCAACAAAATTCCCGGACAAGCAAGCTGAGGCTACATTTGCTTCTGGAGGAAACTCGTTAAAGGAGAGTCGGGGATGCTTTGTGCCGTTTCGGTCCAGCTCACACACGCGCGCAGTAGCTCTGGGCCACGCGTGGCCTCCGTCAGCCCGTGGTCCCGATCCAGGAGACCGAGCAGCCTGGGTGTGCGAGGGGCTGGGTCCTGTCCGCCCACCCCTGCCCCCTGCCCTGGGGTCTTGCTTGGCAGTAGCTCCTTTACTTCTATGTGGAATCTGGAGAGAAGGGGAATTAAAATGTTTCTGGACCACCTGGGCTCACGGGGAGGGGTGAGGGTGCAGATGGAACCAGGTAAACCTGGGCTGAAACCCAGCCTACATGTCTAACCCTGGGGAGATGGTGAACAGTGGACTTGGTCTCTTTCCTCCTTTCCCTGCCTGCCTGGGAGGCAGTGGAGGTAGGGAATTAACAGTCTACTCTGTCCCTTGGGCCTCAATGGTTCCTGAGCCCAGGGGTTCAGTTTTTAGCTGACCTGAACTTAATAAAAGGAGTGATAGTACTTCTCTTGCACAGTTGCCTGTGAGAATTAGAAATGTTACATGCCTGGCCCCTATAGGCCTCCCAGTTACGATCATCTTCTGGAAGTTATTCCTCTGATAACATAAACCCTGGTGCTATCTTCCTAGTGGTCCAGAGAAGAGGGGGCTCCAGTTTTAAGAACGTCCCCCTCTACAAGAGCTGGGCCCGGGTACCCTGGGGCTCCGCAGGGCTTTGCACCCGCACTGTCCGGCCTCCGGGGTCGGTGACCTGCCTGGGGATCTCTGTCGCAGGCCTGTCCGCTACGAACCTGCTGGTGAGGCAGGCTCGGCTCCCCGGGCTTCCATCCGCTGGCCTCCCGTTAGCACTGGCAGCCCTGGGCTGGGAGGCAGTCACCAGAGAAAGCCGCCCGCCCAGAGTGTTCCTCTCCTTAGCCCTTGGCCCTTGCCTGCACCTCCATCCTCTGGGCGAGAGCCCCAAGCCCCCACCCCGGGGTGTGTGTGGGGTGGGAGGGTGAAGGGAAGCCACTGCCAGAGTCCATGCCGCAGCCACGTTCCCACGGGGCAGGGCGCCCAGCAGTGAGGCCGCTCCTGGCAAGCCCGGCTCACACAGGAAACCAGACCCGAGGGCCCCCCCCCTCCCCCCCGGGACCTTGGCAGGGAACGCTCCCCTCGCTAACTAATCAGTGTGTCCCTGTCACCGAGGTTTACACAACTGGAGCTGGGCTGGAAAGGGAGACGTGTGTCTGGCTCCAGCTCCGCGCTAGAGGGAAGCGCTCAGCTTGATCGGAGTGGGAAAGATTAAAAGTAACTCCTCCATCTTGGTCAGGACTCACCATCCCCTGTAACACCCATTCAGCATCTGGCCTCCCGACCAGGCACCTTCTGATCCCAGGGCCCCGCTGCCCCTGCGCACACCCGCAGCCTGAAGGGCCGCCCTCCCGCGCCTGGGGCACACAGTCCCTTTTAGCAGGAACAGCGGGGCTCAGCAGGGAGGTCACAGAAAGCTGTTTGTGAGGCTGCCAAAGGACCACTTTGATTTATAAACTAGGAAAGTTTGCCACATCTGAATTCACAGTGAATGAGTTATTTCCCATATTTTGCTCCAAAAGAGCTTATTACATTCTCAGTTCTAGTGTGAAAAATGAATTGCAGGGAAAATGTGTTATTTTTCCCAAATGTTGAAAGTGCCATGTTGAAGGTCTCAGCAGCCCTTCCCTTTGGTCCCACAGGCTGGGTGGTTGGATCCCTGGAAATCCTCGGCAGCCCGGCCAGCCTGGTGCGGAGCGTGGGCAACGGCATCGCCGACTTCTTCCGGCTCCCGTACGAGGGGCTGACCCGCGGCCCCGGGGCCTTCGTCAGCGGCGTCTCCCGTGGGACCACGTCCTTTGTGAAGCACATTTCCAAAGGTAGCTACTTCGGTCCCTTGTGATAATGCCTGATTTCATTCCTTCCTGACTTATTTTTCTCTTTTTAAAGAACATGTTAAAGTTTCAGCGTTGCCTCTAGCTTTGTGTGGCGTGTTGGCTTGCAGTGAACGCTGGACCTGTGACAGCTCATATACGCGCTCTGATGTGTTGAGCAGATCACTGCGGCCTGTGCAGTGTGTGAGGATCCCAGAAACCTCGAATGTGAAACCCCTCACCGGGGAAGCATGCACTGCCTCAGCGGCTCTCCCATGCGATAAATGCAGAAATGCTAAAGGTGCTCGGACTTCTGCTAAACATCAGAAACCCTACACTCTGTGGCCTCATCATATTTTTTTTAACGTAGATACAGTTGTCATAACTTCAGTGAGGCTGTGGATACATTTTGACGGGAGGCCGATGGGGAGTGAAACCGCGCGCACAGTGCCATCTGGTGGCTGCACGGGCCGCCAGGCGCCGAAGCCCGGCTGCCCCTGGACCAGGGCAGTGTTTCCCTGGTTTCCGCGTTTGCCTGACGACATTTTGGTCAGGTTGGCAGGGACTCGGGAGCTAACAAGAACCATCTGAGTCCCCATTCTTCTCAGCAGGAGGCAGGGAAAAGGGGCGAAGGGCTTCTCCCCAGCGAGGCCTTTTACTGTCAACAGCACGGCCCCTGGGTAATGGACAAAGGCAGGGCCACTCCCCCGCCCAGTCACCCAGGAGGCCTGTGAGCAGAGCTGCCAGCGCTCACAGATGAGTCACTGGTAGACTTCTCACCCGTGACACTTAGATCTTCGTGGTTCTGTTGTTTGTATTTTAAAATAAGACAACCAACACCTGCTAAACTGAAGTCCACGGTGATTTTAACATCTGGCCCACTGCATGTTTTTACACTGGCTCTCTCCTCTTCCCAAATCCGTGCGGTTTATTGGGATCTGTGTGTGCGCATGTATCTTCTTTATTTTCAGGTTACTGGTAAAGATGCAACTGCAAGAATGACACTTCCCATCTCTTCTTTAAACCTGACATCCTAACAGATGAGCCAATTCATTAGCTTCAGAAATGTGTCCATTGATGTCTTCAGTTTTGCTCATGGGGATTGATGCAGACTTGCTAGAAAAGATGCTGAATATCTTGAGTAAGCTGCTGAAATAGCCTTTCTTAGGAGAAAAACAGGATCATGGCTTTCACGTGATTTGCCTCCTTTGTTGTCCTCACATTTTTCACAGTGAACATCCTGAATATCAAAACTGCACATGTTCTCTGCAGCACAATAATCATCTCCTCAAAAATGTCAAATAATAAGGAGGGAATAATTTTTAGTCCAAAAGTGGAAACATCTCTTTGCAGTCTGTCAGAAATTCAGCAACTAACCTCAACCTTTAAAATCAGAGCAGGCAGCCCTGGCCGACTTGGCTCGGTGGATAGAGCATCAGCCCTCAGACTGAAAGGTTGAGGGTTTGATTCAGGTCAAGAGGAGGTACCTTGGTTGCAGGCTCAATTCTGTGTGGGAGGCAACCAATCAATGTGTCTCACATCAGTGTTTTTCTCTCTCCCTCTCCCTTCACTCTCTCTAAAAAATTAATGGAGCCCAGCCCAGCTTGCATGGTTGAGCATTGACCTATGAACTAGGAAGTCTCTGTTTGATTCCCAGTCAGGGCACATACCTGGTTTGTGGGCTCGATCACCATTAGGGGGCATGCAGGAGGCAGCGATCAATGATTCTCATCATTGATGTTTCTCTTTCTTTCTCTCTCTCTCTCTCTTCTCCCCTCTCCCTTCCTCTCTGCAATCAATCAATCAATAAATAGTCAATGGAAAATGTCTTCGGGCATGGATTAACAATAAAATATAATCAGAGTAGACAGATTTTAACCTTCAAAACTGGGCCTCAGCGAGGACTTCAAAACCAACTGTTTGTTTTTTACTGTTTTTATTGATTTTTTTGAGAAAGGAAGTAAGAGGGAGAGAGAAGTAGAAACATCGATGAGAGAGAAACATCAGCATCCATGGGCTTGTCTCCTGCACGCACTACACTGGGGATCGAGCCGGCAACCCGGGCATGTGCCCTGACCAGGAATGGAACTGAGACCTCCTAAAACCAACTGTTTTAGCCAAGCCCTGACAGTCAGATAGTAGGGAGCCCAGTTCCATGTGAAACTCTAGGCACTTTTCTGGTAACAGACTCTTACCCTACCCCTCTGAGGAGAGCCATCATCGGCACAGGAAAGTGAAGCCACCATCACTCACCCAGAGGGCACAGATGGGTTTCTGCTGCCCTCTCTACTATCCCGCGGCCTCTGGGCACCACTCTCCCATGTCCTCCATACATGACCAGGAGCCAACCCATGTGCTCTTGTGCCCTCAGGTACCCTTACCTCCATCACCAACCTGGCCACGAGCCTGGCCCGAAACATGGACCGGCTGTCCCTCGATGAGGAGCACTACAACCGGCAGGAGGAGTGGCGGCGACAGCTCCCGGAGAGCCTGGGCGAGGGCCTCCGACTGGGCCTGTCCCGGCTGGGCATCAGCCTGCTCGGTAAGGGGTGCAGGGATGTGCGCGCCCGCCTGCCCTCTGGCTCTGCCGTGGGACATGGACTCCCAGGATGGGAGGTGGTTGGGAAATTCACATCCTTTCTGTAGACTATCGGAGGCTTGGAGAGAATATGGCGCTCACCCCAGTTCCTGCCCTGAGTCAGTGAGGCTGTGGAACAGGACCCACGTTCCAGCACCAGGGTGAGGCTATGACAGGCCATCCTGTCTGACCAGAGGCTACCTGCTCCCTCAGCACTGCAGGCACTGCAGACACCTGCTCCCCCACCACCGAGACACCTGCTCCCCCACCACCCAGACACCTGCTCCCCCACCACCCAGACACCTGCTCCCTCAGCACCACGGTCGATGCCTGCTTTTGTTTTTTAAGCACTTGAGCAACTTGCAACTACTGCAGACACCTGCTCCCCCACCACCGAGACACCTGCTCCCCCACCACCCAGACACCTGCTCCCCCACCACCCAGACACCTGCTCCCTCAGCACCACGGTCGATGCCTGCTTTTGTTTTTTAAGCACTTGAGCAACTTGCAACTGTCATGCGAACCTCATGAGGAAGCCACTTTTCCTTTTGTGTTTTCTAAGAATGCCAGGTCAGCCTGACTGGGGTGATCATCAGTTGTTGAGCAGCCAGATGGTATAGTTAGAGGTGAAGACTGCTCTTGAAATTTCCAAATTTTACAAATGTTTGATAAATAAGTTGCTTTGGAAAAATCTATAAAAAGGAAGCTTCGGAGCTGAACTTTTGCAGAGCAGGATTTTCAAGGGTATTTTCTGTTTGTTTGCAAAGGAATTTAAAACTGTGTTGCTTGGCAGCATGCCTGCCCAGCATCTGAAGAAGGGTGCATCTCCTGAGATCAGAGTGCCCAGTGCAGAGAGAGCAAAGGTCAGCAAAGCTGGGCCTGAAGGGTTCCCCCTCTCCCCAGTCTGCCTCCCCAGACATCACCCCAGCTCGCAGTGCAGCCACGGAGGCTCGGAGAGGGTGTGGGGAGGTGTTACAGGAGCAGCTAGGTTACTAGAAATTGTTCCCGTCGGAACATGCAGTGGTGCGCGGCAGTCATTGCATCATGCTTGGGAGTGGGGAGCTGGTGGCTGGGATGGGAATGCTGGGTAGAGGAGCAGCCCGGAGGCATGGTGGCTGCTGTGGGAAAGGGCAGTGGTGTGGGGTGGACCACACTCCTTCTTTTGTACCTCAGACATGTGCTTATCTTCCCTGAGCCTGGGTTTCTCTGGTGTAAATCGGGGCTGGAATCACCATTAGAAGCCATGGGGGTCAGGCGTGTGTCCGCCCAGGGCCTGTGTTCGGTCATCAGAACCTGTCATCATGAAATCATGGCAGCGAAGGAACTGTCCGAGTTGCTCAATTTCAAAGAGTGTCGGATGGGCAGTGGCAGGAGCCTTCTTGCTTTAGTTTCAGTCCAGTGGGTTCCAGGTGCTGTAACCACCGGAAATGACAACCTTGGGGGCTCAGGTCATGGTCTGGGGTCTGTGGGCCTCTTTTCGCTGAGACCTGTGGGCTCTGTGGCCCTGCTCTGGCAGGAGAGCTTCCTTCCCTCCGTCTGAGCCAGAGGAGCTCCAGGTGCTCCGGAGGAGACCTACGTGGCTGGCCTGTGGCCGCCTCTGTCCCAATGCTCTCGTCCCCGAGAAGCAGCGCCACTACCACTCCCCACTGAGGACGCTGTGCCTGGCGTAGACATCAGCTGTGGGAGGAGCTGTGGACCTGCCTTGGCGATGTCGCCCTTGGGGCTTGGCTCGTGGTTGGCCATGAAGCTTTGATCTCCTCCTCGGTCTGTGTCCTGTACATCCTTCTCCATGCAAGGGAATCTTTCTGTCTGTGGGACCTGCCGTGGGTGCAGAGTTTTTCTGCATTTCTGGTAATTTCCAAAAACCTAGGTATTCTGGGGGTAACGTAGACCCTGCCCCGCGTGTGCACCTACAGATGCTGGCCTGGCCAGGGCCCAGGAGCTCCATGCCCACAGCACACCCTGGGCTCCACGTCCTTGTCTGTGCTTCTCAGACATTTAGTTCACAGTGGGCATCTCAAGGTGGGCCCACACGGGCTCCCTTCCCTCTATGAGCGTAAGAACCCTCTGTATCCCACATAATCTCAGTGTTAGCTCCAAACACCAGGTCCCAGAGGAAGACAGAGAAGCTAGGATTCTGGGAAAGAATAGGACTGTCACCATTTAATCCATTTCCAGAAACGCGATTGCATACCTAATTGAAGCTAGAGCTGTTGTGATGTAGCAGTGACATCAGACCGCTAGTTCCTCAGTTTCTCCCTCTAATGACCCAGTGAGTAGAAAGGTATTTAAAGAACACTTCAGGGTTTCACATGCATGGTCTTTGATCATCAAACCCCAGGCCTGAATGAGGTTCAGAGCTTGCCCAGGTCAAACCTCTAGCCAGGACAAGTTCCCGGCCCCTCCACAATCCCCCACCCCCAAGGGCTCCACGCCTGG